GATCCTACTAAACCAGGTGGCATTTTTGAGGCCTATAATGCGGAGACCCGACTAAAGCATTGCATATTAAACAGAAACAGACCAGGGCCTTTAGCCAAACGCCAATTTAGCGCTTGTCTACAGAGAGAGTAGTAATCAAAATGTATGGTGATGACTGACGACACTGACAACTGTCAAAATTTACGTCAATTCCATATAATTTGATTTTCTATTCTACATGTAGACAAGCGCTAAATGGCATTTGGCTACAGCTGCTGTAGTGCTTCCTGATAAAACTGAATCTCTTATGTACGCTAGCAATTTACCCACGAAAGATCATGATCATAAGGATATGAATCTCAATGTATATTGTAACTGAGACCTAAGGTCCAGCAATGTACTGTTGATGATGATGATTAAATCAGTTAAACTTTTATCTCAACAGTTAAACTCCAAACCCTACAACGAAACAAAACAAATAACCCAATATTTCCTTACAATAACACAAACACAATAACCGTCACCTCAATCACACATCCGAATCACAAGTGATTTAATTATACGCCTATATTGACTCGATACGAAATTAAACTCCGCTCAATACGTTGACAAACGCAATGTCGCCATGACAGATCATTTCGAAGCTATTTATTATGGATAATTTAATGCCTCTGGTACGATTTATTGCCCTGGGATATAGGTTCAGCTAATCAGTGCCGGATGATGATAATGATGTTGGCATGTTCATTAGTGTACCTTTAGAAAGTTGACAACATGGTGCGGTGGCTGGGCAACCGGCTTCTTTGTGTGATCCGCAAATTGTTGTTCCGGGTCTGGGTGTCATGTGTATGTGAATTTGTATGTTTGTAAACGCACCTACGACACAAGAGAAAATCCTAGTGTGGGGCAAAGTTTTTTTTTTTTTAAAAGTTGGCGCTAATATTAGTAGGAATGTTTGAGAGTGAGTGTGAATTATCCGGGGTTCATGCATTAACTAGCTTCGACTCGCTTGTTCGCCTACGGTTCAGTGGAATAAAATGTAGCCTATGTATATTTTCACACACACACACACACACATAGATCCTGACAAACTTTCACATTTATTAGAGGTATATGAGTAGGAAGGAGAATTGCTAGGACAGTGTAATTATCGCCTTATCCACTCAAGTACCCATAAATACCCATATCGAATTCCTATCACAACTACATTGTTTACAAATTAATAGGAACAGAGATATCATGACCCAGAAATGGATAGCCAAAGATATAAGATAAGGTATCCAAAGTTGTTCATGATTTACAACCAAAGCTTATGTTATCGACATCAGAATGGATCTACCTAGAGAACTTCTTGTGCTCTGACAGCGAAAGATTTATGCCCTAGAATGGAATAGAATGGTTAGATCAAAATTCCTATTTAAATATTTTTTAAATCACGTTTTGTAGGTGGAAGTGATTATGATAAATTCTTAACTGAGTTTGTTTAATATTATGTATATAGTGGCTATTCATAATTCATTCCAATACCTCTTTTGACCCGCTATACTCTCGCCTTTTAAGATATTATTTAATAAAAAAATACACTTTTATTAAATACTAGCTTTTACCCGCGGCTTCGCTCGCATCACAAAAGGATAAAAAGCCAATGTGACATAAACCAATACACACAGCGCCATCTATACCAATACTTTTGTTTTCCTTCGGGAATATCAAATTTTTCCAAAAAAAAGTACCCTATTATTTAATTCGGACTTCTAACTATACATCTGCAAAAATTCAAAGCAATCGGTTTAGTAGTTACGGCGTTAAAGTGGAACAAACAAACTCACTTTCCGATTTATAATATAAAAATTAAATTACTTTTACTTAATACACCATAATTATGAATCACATAAAAGGAAACAAAACAGTTTGATGACGCCATATACAGTTTAATTTTATATTTACTAATTTAAATAATAACAATAAATCACAAGGAAGCACTTAATATCCCACACGTACGAGTACTGAGAGCGAAGCACTAACTTACTGAAACCAAGTTAAAATAACAGGCTTTGGTCTCATTAGTACTCGCGAAGTTCAAAGTTTAAGCCAGATAATACGGTGGATACAATTAGTGAAGTAATTAAATGTGTGCCTATTTATCACGAGTACCTTTTCTAGTTGATATAAGGTGTATTTTTGTGTGGCAATATATTGAGATTTGGTTTTTTATTTGTTAATGGAGTTGCTTAGAAGATATTTTATGAAGGCTCGTGTATATTTGGGCGACAGAACTAACGAAAAGGAATTTAATTAGAAATATAAATCTTCGAAAAGTAAAGAAAGAATTAAAATTTTCGTTTGATTATAGAACATAAACTGAAGTTTGAGTTTACAGTATTAAATAATTTAAATGGCATTAAATTGTTCTTACCATCTGTGTCCATAAAAGATACAAATAATAATTAAGAAGCTTAGTACACATTTTGCTAGTATTAAACAAACATTTCCAAGTTCCTTTACCCAGACTTGTCATAAACCTCATTCTGATTAAGCTATCATGGCAATTGTTCGAAGTTAGTACCGTCGCAGTGACAAACTTTATCTAACTTGTGAATAAAAAAACTCGGGAAATCTCAGTGCAGCCTTAAATAACCGAACTAAACTCGATCACGTACAAAAACTTCGCAGTATCAAGTCCATTATTAAATTTTTATGTAACGACACGGATCCGCGACCGCACCGCAACTCCCGTTGTACACTGCGCACCCATAAAGAGTTAATATTTCAACGGCGCACACCAAGCGAGCAGTAGTCACGGCCCAAGTTTTAATTTGCTTAAAGTTGTTACAAGTTGGAACGGGTCCCTCGTTGGGCGCCAAATTAGGTACAGTCACAGAGTAAAGTATAAAAGTAACGGTCACGTTACTCTACTGATAGTTTAATTCGTTTCGTTTACTAACATTTTTTGTTCTGTGTTCGATTTCGCTTTCGGATTGTAATTTAACTTTTGTAGAAGACACGTTGAAGAATCTTGTTTGAATAGTTCATGGTCTTAAGAATGTCTAAAGTTTTATTAGACGTGAAACATTACGTTGCGTTTATAAAATAAATATGTGAAAACCATATTAACCTGATACACAAAGTCCAGTTAGAATCGTAAAGGCTAAATACAAACACAATAGCCAAGTCTTCGAAATATTCCTAATCTGACAATCGAAGTCACTCAATTTAAGACTCTAATAACTAACCTAAAAATATCTTAAACAACAATCTCAAAATGAAACCAACATAACAAGACCTCTACTTCACAAGAACCTCACAAACAAAACCATTCACAAATTCTGGTCAACCAGGTTGTTAATCATACAACCAGCACATACATTATTTAATTCAAAGGCACTCAACGAGAACGGATTCCGTTTCACCAGCAATGCATCAGGGAACTCTTTAAAGCGCTGAATCCGCGCATTATCGATGAATTACGATGACCATTCACCATCAGGTGGCTTTTATGGGCCCATTCCATAATAAAAACCGTCCCATAGGCCATACTAATATTTTAAAGAGGTTCTGTTTGTTCTTCCTTATTTATGTTTTGTGGTTTAATACAATATGTGTGGAAGGTGGATGAGATATATTTGTCAATAATAAAGATGAAAAGTTTATTGGCTTGTTTGAATGCCTTACATTTATTTTTAGTGTGGGAGAGCCATGCTTCAGCACGAATGGGCCGGCTTGAACGGAGTGATATCACGGCCTCACAGACGTGAAACAACTACTGCGTTGTGTTTCGTCGTGTGAGTGAGGTAACCGGAGGCCTAATAACCACCAGTGATTGGAGAAGGGGGGTCCTTCTCCAATCACTCCAATTCCTAAATCACCAACAATCCTCAAATTCCTAATCCCCAAAAGGCCGGTAACGCACTTGTTTGTCACGCCTGTAGTGTTCCGGGTCACAGATTCTTTAACCATAGGCAAGTTTTTCGAAAAATAACACATACTTCGTTTATCTTGAATTTTCTACAATATCAGGAACTAATAGGGATAAATCTATAAAAGACATAGTATTTCACCGTAATATGACAAAAGGATAGACATTATTACATAGCACTAATAATTTTTTCATAAACTGCGTTTAAAAAAACCGACTTCCACCTCCCATTTTTTTTTATGTCAGTTAAGATATTAAAACCTTCTCCTAAGTGTAACAAACACTTCTGACAACCATACGTATGCATGATTGTGTGATGTACAAGTCAAATACAAGTAAAACTGAGAACCATATTTTTTGTCTTTTTGCTGTCGGTTAAAAACAGAACGAAATCGTTTAGTTATTCACACACTTTAGTCTCCCATATCAGATAATAATAACTGTAATCCTTTCCTTCTTATCAAAAAGGCCACTACCCTGTATAAATAAGGACAAATTCATAGAAATAAAAGGGAACAAGTTAAAAAATTCAAAAGTGGTAATAGTTATAAATGAAATTTCACGTGGCGATGTACGGAAGGGGAACACGAAAAGGTTTTCAAGGAAATCATAATTGTAGTTCAGGTGGGGAAATTGAATCGAGTCCACTACAAACCAGCTTGTGGCTTGTCATGACAAATTTATTCGTTGATTACACCGCTTATGAGTAGGAATAATAACTATCAATTTTGAAATTGGAGTATATATAGCCTTTATTTTTACCCAATTTTGGAATGGAAAGCAAAGTCAGAACTTCACCAGTAGACGTTGACTTGTAGAATAAATAATGCATATAAACTGTAGTTTTGTTGAATGGTATCTTAATAAAATTGATAATCGATTATTTAAACACTATTGCAATATTAAAACTTTTATAAGACATATTAAATTAATTATTTTGAGTAGGCTGCGCGACATCGCCGCGACCGCGCACGCTGCTCATGAGGAAGAGCTCCTCTGTGGCTCGAAACTAGTAGAGCTTTTCTCAGTATTTTGACGTAAGTAACCCGCGATTTTTAGTTAAATTAATTATTATATCCAAAAATAAAAAGAATATTGAACTTACCGTATTTTGACCTCTTTTGACTGCCAGTCGCTGTGTTTGTCAAAGCTGATGAGTATTGCCGCGATTTCCTGAAACAAACGAAAGTTATATGTTAGGTTATTTGTTTTAAAGCTAGCTTCAACACTACAACTCATAAAAGAATAATTATCATCATGTTCAAAATTGAGGGCCTGATATTTCATAGTGGACTAACAAAGCAAAGTTATTATGATAATATATTTTTAAATAGTTCTATCTACCCTGTTCCTAATTCGTTTAGTTTAATTAAAAGTGTTCATTTAATATCAATCCAGGTAATTCTAAAACAACTTATAAGTGTACTCACAAAAATTAAAAAATAATAAGAAAGCCGAAACAATAAACTAAAAATATAACCTAACTAACCGAAATAAGACTCGAATTTATTCAAAGTCGTAACCTAGTTAACGAATGCACAATCAGCATTCGAGTTACCATAAATTTTACACTCACTGAATGTAAAAAACCTTAGTGCCTTTATTTATTCCATCGTAGAACTTGATCAGAACACATGCATATTTAGATCACACATAAAAACGAGACTTCGACTACCAACTGTCACTGTTCGGCGGCCATCTTGTTTCGCAATTCAAACTAAAGATTCGGAACATGTTATTCTAATAAATAAATCAAATATTTTCGCGACGAGTTGGGAATAATAAGGCTGAGTGTAATCGTAAAGTTCTCTTTGATCCCTTAAGGCATAAAACGGACGAGGATTAAATTAGTTACGATGTCGACCGCGGATTTGGTTGCTATTAAAAAAAAATTTGATTTAATACTTCAATTATTAACTCGTTGAGTACCGTCATTATAGACACAATTGTGTGTCAAATATGACAGTTACTGTCAAACACCGAGCGGTCACCGGTGACCGCAACCTATTGTTCTTTAATTGTGTCTATAATGATGGTACTCGACGAGTTAATTAATTAAATCGATATAAACACCTATATCATCATAGTGACATTTGTCAATTTTACTAACATTTTCTTAGTTGTCAAAGTATCTGTATACATAAAATTCAAATTAATAACTAGATACATAAAACAACTCTCAAAGAAATGTTCATAAAGATATGAACAGACTTTTAAACTACGTATTAGCATATCCATACAGATTTCAACGCTAAATCTCTTTCATACACGTGACAAAGATGGATTACAATCGCTCGGAAAGCTTCGCAACGAAGACGGAAGGATTCGTATAAATCCTACCTCTACATTTTGAAATATAAAATTCACAACGGTTCCTTCGGTGTGAATTGTATAATAAACATTTCAACTTAACTTTGTAAATAAACTAAGAATTCATTTAATTTATTAAGTTGTTATTAAATTGTGTTGTGCCTAAAATATTTTTATAAAATAATTATAGAACATTTGGTTTTAGTGATATATATTTTGTGTTTATTATTACGTTAAAATTCCTCGTTAACATAAAATATTAAACAATACAAGTGTCTTTGTTTGTTTCTTGTAAAACTATGTGATATACAACTTTACAGAATTTTAATTATAGTACTTCGACAACATTACAATACAATAAGCCGGAAATCCCACCTATTTTCCCCCACATATCCATCTTATTCTCAGCTCAGGTTAAAAAAAATACACAATTAACCCACCAAACACGTCCCAACACAGATTGCCACTCAAAAGCCATACTCGTATACCCGAAATTTCATTTCTCCCACCACACATTTGCAACCGTGCCAATCTACAAACCGCGTCGTTTTGCCCCTAAAATACGAATACAGAACCCTAAAAGAACGGTCATTACTCTGTGATTTAATGACGGAACCCAAATATAAGAACTTGCACTTAGGTAATATGTATTCGTAAACTGTAAAATCTTGTGAATATATTTATAGTAAATATTATGTAGGAACTTATGTTACAAAATGCTGTTTTTACAATAAATTAAGCGAAACACAATTTTTGCCCCAATTGTGTTTTGATTTCCATGTAATAATGATGAGCTATATAAGTTATCGTACATAAAACTTCAAAGACTATTTTCCAAAAATAAAACACAGAAATTTTGAAATTTTCTTTCGAAGAACTATCCCTTCATAGGCTTCGTAAAGGTAAGAAGATAATTATTAATGTTAGGTAATTACTTTACGCAAGTATGTTAAATCTGTGAACCCAGAATTCGAACCTGAAACCCCTTCTCCAGTCTCGCCACAAAATTTACTGCTTCTAATAATATAATTCGTGCATGCATTGCATACGTTAGTGGTCGACTTAAGGGAAGTGCCTGTTTCCAGCATGCTAAGGAAATATCTGTCGGTCCGTTTTTTGGTGCTATTGGGGAAACTTGTCTGAATTGATTTCCTTTGTTTTGTTTGGAGGTTTTTTTGTTTTTGTTTGTGTTTGTGTTTGAAAGTAAGAGTTGAGTTGCTTTTTTTGTTTTTAAAATGACTTTTGTTTTTATTGTTCTATATTTTTAAACTGCAATTTCTTATCCATCTGCCAAGCATGCAAATAGCAAACGTATCCTATGTACTAAAGGCTTACAGTTCAGGAAACTTATGGGCTTATCTTTTCTAGTACAAATATTCAATTAGCTACCAAAGTCTTTCTAGGCTTCGACTAACTCAAAGTATATAATTTGAAGGCTAATTTAAGCTATAACATTAATTTATAGCTCTCTAGTCACACACTTTTGAAGACAAACATGCAAAATGGCTATAAAAATTTGATCAATGTTTTGGCAACTTAATTTAAGCATTTATTGCTACACAAACGAAGGTAACTCGCATGTAATAATATGGGGGAGCAACCATTTATAAAGTTGCAATTTATGTTAAACATATTTCGGGAATAATGGGGTAACTCTCTTTTGATAACAAAGGATGGTGACTCCATGTTATGCAGTTGGAAGTGGTAAAGATTTGAAGATTAGAAAGTGTTTTTTTTAATGGGACATGCCCGCCACAACCTCCCAAAACCGCTGCAACTCCTGTAAGCCAGGATCTACAGTCGATACAACCATGAAAACACCGGAACACTGAAGTCCGGCGCGTCCCAGGCACATGTATAACTGTCTTGGTTCCCGCAACGAAGTGAATCAGAAGATATTATAAGAGGAGAAGAAAAAATCTATAGTTTCTACTTCCCTCGGTGAATTACTGCAGGAGACAGAATTAATTAAGTCTAAAGGCACAAAAAAGAGACTGTACAACTGAAAATTAGAGTGTTGTAAAATATAGTAAAAGTTGCGTTATTTAGTATTAGTATGAATTTCGAAACTTTTTGGTTGAGGTACGATAGCTGAAACGAATTCTTATATGATTTTTTTATAGAACTTATACCTCAATAATTTGTATTGCAATTTGCCACAAGAAAACCAACAAGGCATAACCAGGTATAAACAGAAACACAAAAATTATGACCCAAACATTACTTTATATCATTCAAACCGAAACGCACACACATATGAATACGGTCAACTAATAAATAATAAAAAGTTCTTAGGGTAACATCTGCGTTTTCCCATCAAAAGAAAAACGCTCAAACAAGGGTTTTCATACAAAATGAAATAATATTGTGGAACAAGTATTGATAACATTTACCTGTTATTTGTACCCCAAAATGCCTTCGACCCCAAATTGGAGCCGATAGGGGACGAAAATACAACTTTAAATTACTCATACATACGCACAATGCATATTTTATTTTTATGCCAATTCGTTGGTACTGATTACTAACAATTTTCTTTTATCGACATAAAGTTGTTATTGTTGTATGTTTGTTGAAGTATAAGACTGTTTACTTTACTTCAGGCTGTAATATATATATTGTGATTTTTTGCCATGCCGGAAAACCTAACGGGTTGCCGGGGCTCCGGCTCGAAGTGCAAGAGTAGAAACGGAGGTTTTTAGTCGGTAAGAGTCTGATACTCCCTCTCGCCTCACCCAGGCGGGACCTTGGGCTGGAGAAGTTATTGGATGATTTTCCCTTTTCCCCTTCAAAAATAAAGGCACAGGTAAAAGTAACTTTCGCACTTTTTACCAACTAAAATATGGCGACACATCGACCAATGATAGATGTCGCACATAGACGATCAACGACACAAACCAACGGATGACGTCACACGTCAACTATACATGTGAATTAACATAGATAGAAAATCCCAACGAAGAACCCTTAAATAGAAAGTCCACTAGGCACGATGACCTCATTTTTCGATCTTAGGGAACTTTACTCAGTGTTCTCTAAAATATAATAAAGCTTACATGGGTAATAGAGAGTCCATTGTTATTAACTAGTCGCGGAGAACCTAACGGGTTACCGGGGCTAAGGCTCGACGTGCAGGAGAAGGAACGGGGTGGTTTTTAGTCAGTAAGAGTCTGATACTCCCTCCCGCCTCACCCAGGCGGGAGCAGTCATTCGATGATTTTCCCCCCTTAAAAAAAATTGTTATCAACTAGTCTGTGACTAGTTTGTTGTGTTATGGACTTCACGCGTCCCCTTTTCCCACGTAATAAAACTCAGATTGTGGCAGGAATCAAAATGGAAACCTCCTTCTCGGCTGTGGTGTTTTTGACCCGGGACTAGTAATTATTTACTCCTAACTAAATTCAACTTCACTGACGGGCTTTAGCTTATATCCTCGACTTCAGTTCGATTTAAATGCTACGTAATTTTGAAATTGTTTTGAATTTATCCAAGCTGTGACGAGAGTGTCGTTTGAGATCATAACAATTATAATAAAAACTGATAGCCTATAGTTTCAGTTTCAATTTAGGGTTTAGGCCCGTCCCTTAATACCCTTAAGGGTTAGTTACCAAAATAGGTACCTATTTCAATTTTCCAACAAAATTAGATGGTTTCCGTGTTCTGAATATTTAAGTAATTAATGAAACTTATTGTTTAGGTTTTTATAGATAATTTTAATCGAGATTGTTTTAAGAGCTAGTCTACTTTCGATTGAAGACAACAACATTATTGAGTGTATTATTAAAAAGTACATAATCAGATTTATAAACATGTCAATCATGCATGGTAAAATTAAAAAAAAAGATATCCTATATCAGTCATCAAACG